AGTTGCTGTACGTGGGACTCGGCCCCGCGCTGGACAGAGAAGCGGTGCCTTGGGGCGCGCCCGGGATCCGAACCCGGGCCGCCAGCATCAGAGCGCGCGCACTTAACCGCTAAGCCACGGAGCCGGCCCTGTACTTATTTTTTTGTATGTTTGCTCTGTCACTTACTAAGAGAGGTCTGTTAATATCTCCTACTAAGCTTGTGAATTTGTCTCTTTGAGTTTCTGTTAAATTTTGCATTATATATTTTTGAGGCTGTTGTAGGGGAGGCAAAACTTTACCTCTGCCCTCTTAGGGTCTCTGGTTGGGCCTGAAAATTAAATTGACACAGGACAGATTAACAGGAGAAAGCATATAGGTTTTTACATGTCTAGAGGAGCACCCATAGGAAAATGAAAACCCAAGGAAATGACTAGGGCTGAGTGCTTATATACTAGGGAACAAAGAGTAGCAATTGAGGAAAAGTGACTAAAATATATGGAGTGACTAAAGGAAGATAACTCAAGAGTTATTTTAACAAGGCTGTACAGGTGTCTCTTGGCCTTGATTTACTGTCTCTGGTGATAAGAATGTTTCTTTCTCCCTGGAATAGAGAGGGCATCTTTCACATGGGAGTTTTATTTCCTGCTTTCAGAAGAAAAGAGTTCAGAATGCCCTTCTTGGCACCTGCTGTTTTTTAGGTGTCTTTTAGCTCAAAATAATCCATATGCCAAAGTGGCGTATTTTGGGGTGACATATTTTGCCACCCTCCACTATTCTATTAGATGTAAATAAATGTAAAGTTCTTATATCTTTCTGATGAATTAAAACTTTTAAATTGTTGACAGTTTATTTTCTTTGTGTTTTAGTCCATCTTGTTGATATCTGGAACATGATTGAAGCCTTTCGAGACAATGGCCTTAATACACTGGACCACACCACTGAGATCAGCGTGTCCCGCCTCGAAACTGTCATCTCATCCATCTACTACCAGCTGAACAAGCGCCTTCCTTCTACTCACCAAATCAACGTGGAACAGTCCATCAGCCTCCTCCTCAACTTTATGATTGCTGCATACGACAGGCTAGTACCTTACATGCTTACTTCATTTTAAGAATGTTTTGCCTAAATCATCCTTCTTCCACTGCCTTGCTCACAGTTGTCAACTTAGAATCACAGTTAAAAGGGAAATTATTCAGTGTAAGTCTCTTCTAAAGACTGGTTAAATGCCAGAGTGACTTACTGTCCTAGGCATGTCACATATTAAGCTCTGTAACATTATGGAGAATCACAACACTTGAGACATATCATTTGGTAAAATTATAGGTACCTTAACATAGCTGTTCTCTATCCAGAGAAATATAGCTAAGTTGTAAACTTGGTTATGAGGGTTTCTATGGTTTCTATTTGGCTTTTAAAGCTAACCTTTCTTTACTGTATAACAGTAAATGCCCCTGGACTGTAGTATCTTGTTTTCTTCTTATGTGTGTTTAGGAGCCTATTTTATTTTTTTTCAGTGCAGAACATTGTCTGGTAGACCTCACAACAATGGAAGAAAACTATTTAAATATACTCCAAACTACAATGGAAATGAGTTGCTATATTTGTATTCATGGAGCATTAAGTTGGTATTATAAAAAACAAAAAAGAAATCCTAAGTGATAGAAGCACAGAGGATAATGGTTATATTCCAGGAACCAAAAGTTCAGATTTCTAATCCCTGCTGTATTATCGACCATCTGATTTGGATGGGTTAATTCTCTCTGCTCTTTTTTTCCTCTCTGTAGACCTACTTTGAGTTCATACATCTGTAGAATGCTATTAGTTATACTTTATTATACTGAGGATTCTCTGAGTTAATAGTAAAACTATACAAGTGTGAAAGCCAAGTTATAACATTGGCACTCACTAAATTCACAACATTTTAATAATGTTATCAAAGTAGATATTCCATCCATTTAATAGGAAATTATTTCAAGAAATTTGAATTTTAAAATAAGGGAATATGAGACGTAAGTCTCAGAATTCTAATGCCATTTTTTAGCAATTTAGATTAATGAATCTATAAGGTTAATTTTATACTGTCCAAAGAATCACTGTTTTGATCCAAAAACCTTAGTGAAAACCATTATGCTGTGGTGAGTAAGCAGCAAGCACCTTATCGTGACACTGACTCAGTAAATCAATTCAGGGTTGCACAACACGAATTAATTCAAGAAACGATATTTCTTAAGTCAGAAATAAAAATCATCTTACTGTCTAAAAATGATGAAGATTTTAAAATTTTCTTCCATAATTATATCAAATAAGTTAAAGACTATGGCTAAAGAAGGGAGGAGAGGGAAGAGTGAAGAGATGGCAAAAAGGAGAATGGGAGGATCAGACTTAGGAGCAGAAGGTACAGAGTGTCCTGGGACATATTCCAAGAAAGCTGGACACATGCAGAAAGAGACAAAGGAGAAGTGGACAGTCAAGCAGATGAAGACAGCTCAGTGGAAGGGCTCACTAAAGAGAACGAGGAAAAACAAAAGAGTGCGTGAGTTAAGGAGAATGAGGAATGAAGTATGTCGGTGGTGAGTTTGGTAATTCTCAAGTCATATGTTGTTTAAAACTTTGACTGTGGGCATAAGAATAAATTGTCACATCTTTAGTAACCTTGAAATTTTTACATTATAAGAGTTTATTTAGCTCTCCGGAAATTTGAAATTGGCTTTTATTTACTGGAAAAAAGAAAGGATCTGGTTGTCAGAATTTTATTTTTGAAAATCAGGGCATTTTGTTGTTAAATATTTCAGATAGTAGTCTTTTTATTGATTGGCCACTTTATTACTTAGACAGGAGAGTTCCTTTAATACCTAGTTATTTATTTTAATTGATCTTTTCTGGCCTTTGTATTTCATAATTTCTTTCTTTCTTTCTTCTTTTTTTGTGAGGAAGATCAGCTGAGCTAACATCCGTGCTAATCCTCCTCTTTTTGCTGAGGAAGACCGGCTCTGAGCTAACATCTATTGCCAATCCTCCTCCTTTTTCCTCCCCAAAGCCCCGGTAGATAGTTGTGTGTCATAGTTGCACATCCTTCTAGTTGCTGTATGTGGGACGTGGCCTCAGCATGGCCGGAGAAGCGGTGCGTTGATGCACGCCCGGGATCCGAACCCGGGCCGCCAGTAGCAGAGCGCACGCACTTAATTGCTAAGCCACGGGGCTGGCCCTGATATTCTCTTAAGATTCTTTTAATCTGTAGGCTCTTCCTTCATCTCTCTCTCTCTCTTTATCCTAGAGATTATGGTATGCAGTCTTGATTTTTCAAAGTCTGTTATTAATTGGCATTATTATTCTCTTTCTAGGTAATGCAAAGACTGTAGGACACTTTAATTTCATTTACTCCTTGTTACTTTTATGTCATTGAGTGTTGTGTATTTTTATTTTATATATATTTAAAACCAAGCAGGATGTATTAATTTAAAAATAATGTCTGCTTGATTTTAAATACACTAGTTTTGTTGTTTTTTGCCCTCTCCTGCATTTTCAGGCTTCTATCAGGAATTATTTTCTTTCTGCCTGAAGAACACCCTCTGGCATTTCCTTTCTGCAAGTCAAATTGTGACACGTTCTCTTAGTTTTTCTTTGAAAATTTCACCTTCATACTTTAAGAATATTTTCATTTGGCATACGATTTTTGGTTGACAGTGGTTTTTTCCCAGCATTTTAGGAATGTTATTCCAGTATTTTTTAGCTTCTGTTATTTCTGTTGAGAAGTCAACTGTAGATATAATTTTTCCTTCTTTGATGTAAATCTGTCAATTTCCTCTGATAACTCTTAAGATTTTCTTTTTTTTCCCAGTAATATTACCATGATGTGCTGTGGTGTGATTTTCTTTGTATTTACCTCACTTGTAGTTCATTGGACTTTTTATGGATGTGGTTTGATATACTTCCTCCATTTTTTTAAATTCTCAGTCATTTTCCCTTCATATTTTGCTTCTGCCCTCTCTTCTTTTTCAAGACTTTAAATACCTGTATAGTATTCCTTCTTACTGTATACTCAATATTTTCCTTACCGTCTTTGTGAATTTGGCATCTGTTTCCCTCTCTGGGCTTCATTCTGGATAATTTCTTGTGATGTATATTCCAATTTACTTATTCTCTCTTCGCCTATGTCTAATCTGCTTTTAAACCCATCATGTTCTTAATTTTTTAATGATTTTTTTCAGTCTGAGAATTTATATATGGTGGACTTTTTTGGGGGGACAGTTTCCAGTTCTCTGCCAGACATGTCATTCTTGTCTGGTATTCCTTAAGTATAATAAGCATAGTTATTATAAGATCTGTGCTTATAATCCAATATCTGGATTCCCTGTGTTTTTTATTTGTACTATTTGTTGTTTCTGGTTTTCATTTATGTTGTCTTATTTCCTTTTTGCCTTGTTATTTTTTAGTATGTGCAAAATATTACATTGCAAAATTATTTTTTATTTTTTATTATGTACCAGACATATTGCAGAATCATTTGCAGAAATAATTTGAGGCCTAGGATAACATTTGCCTTCAGAGAGGATTTGTATTTGCTTCTGCCAGGTGCCCAGAGACCTTAACAGTCCAGAATCACCTCAGTTCAGTTTCTGATTCAGTTCATGTGAGGACCTGTTGACTTCTGGACACTATTACTTTTAGGTGCAGCCTTTGGGCTCTCAACCCAAAGTCATGAAGTAGGAATGAGTAGTTTCACCAGGATTCCTTCTCCTTTGGCAGGTCCAGTGTTCCATGTCTTTCTTTTAGCCCCTTAATACTATCAAAGAGTAACTCTGTACTTCAGCCTTTTTGCTTCTGCCTCTGCAATCAGAAAATCTCTTGCATGGAAAAAATGGTTTCAACCATTATACTCACCTCCCTTGGCTTCCAACCTCCCCTGCATTCGGTAACCCACTTGTTAGTCCTCTTTTGCATTCAAGGAGATTTTAAAAAATGTTTCCCATCTTTTCTGCTTTTACTCAGAGGAAGAGGTGATCAGAATTAACTAGTCTGCCATTACCAGAAGGCTATTATTTCTCCAAGTATTTCCTGTGTTTTTATTTTTCTCTTTTTCTGAATGTTGTCATATTTACTTCTATCCTCTTTGTCTCCTAATGTTTCTCACATATGCTTCAATTTCTCTGACTTTCTCTGCTTCCTTTTAGAAGAGTTTATCAATCTGTATTTCTACTCATTAATTTGTTGTCTAGAGCTATAGATAAACATCTATAATAGATGTTTATCCCATCTATTATGTTATTTTTTTAGCTATTGTATTTTCCATACCTAATATATCTGATTCATTCTTTTTCATGATTTGTGGTTCTTATTTCATATTGCTAATGTCTCTTTTTTTTGAGTTTGACTATTTTATTTCTTTATTATTTTACTTATTGAGATATAATTGATGTCAATGACATGTTATTTTCAGGTGTACAACATAATGATTCAATATTTGGATAATATTGTGAAATGATCACCACATTCAGTCTAGTTAACATCTATCACCATACATAGTTACAAAAAATTTTTTTTCTTGTGATAACTTTTAAGATTTACTCTCTTAGCAACTTTCAAATGTACAATATACTGTTATTAATTATAGTCAGCCTACTGTACATTGTGTCCCCATGATTTGTTTATTTTATAATTGAAAGTTTGTGCCTTTTGACCCCCTAACCCATTTTGCACATCCCTCCACCCCTTGCCTCTGGCAACTACCAATCTGTTCTCTGTATCTATGAGCGTGAGTTTTTCTTATAGATTGCACATATAAGTGAAATCATACAGTGTTTGTCTTTCTTTGTCTGACTTATTTAACTTAGCATAATGCCCTCAAGGTCCATCCATGTTGTCACAAATAGCAAGGTTTTCTTTTTCTTTTTTTTTTTTTTGTGAGGAGGACTAGCCCTGAGCTAGCATCCAATGCAAATCTTCCCCTTTTTTCTTGAGGAAGAGTGGCTCTGAGCTAACATCTGTGCCCATCTTCCTCTACTTTATATGGGACACTGCCACAGTGTGGCTTACCAAGCGGTGCGTCGGTGCGTGCCCGGGGTCTGAACCTGCGAACTCCG